TGTTTTGAATCTTTTTTTTTTTTTTCTTTTTGAATCTTTTTTTTTTTTTTTTTTTGGTAGAATGACTGAAAGAATGAAACACTTCTTTTTTCCCCCCAGCCCTAAAATCACAGGATTAAAAACAAAAACATGGAGGAGCTTTATGCTTTGGCCTAGAACTTAGTATGTACTATTATATTACATTCTCCATTGAAGCCCATTTAAAGAGGATGGCTGAGTCGTGTGTAAGTCCTGTATTACAACCAACATGATGGACTGTTATTTGAGATTCATTCTGAAAACATATAACATTTGTGGTCATTTGGAAAAAATAATCTGATTTTTGGACTTCCTCAGGGAGATTTTATCATACCCTGTGTATCACAGGAGGTCCTGCCTTTGAAGCAGGAGCTAGGGTGGGTGTTTATGTCACCCCAGTGTACTAACTACGACTCTACATCTTAATTTATGGTCCGAGACATGAAATAACAGTTCAACCCCCACAAGATAATTCTACAAGACCCTGAACCTGCTGAAGGCACATCTGCACGCCCAAAATCATGCAAGAAATGTTTCCTACCATCCATTACCCACAGAACCATTCAACTGCAAATTAGCATGTACATGTGTATCTCCCAACCTTCAAAGGCAGGAAAAACAAAGAACTTCAGAGAGCAAAGGGGCAGGAGGAGAGAGACAAAGAACCCCTCCCCCCCCATGGCAGCACCTTGACCAGGGCATCTGGCAATCTCATGCAAATGCAAACCAGCACACAAATGCAGAGAATAATTGCCCATTAAAGCGGGTTGTATATTTTTACGGCTGTGTTGCAGAATCTGCCCCCCTGTCGGGTTTTGCATCTGCTATTCTTCTGTCTCTCCCAGAGCTCTAAAACTTTAATATGCAGTTTATAACCCTCAAGTATTTTCCACTGGCTTTGTGTTTCTTCTCTTGGGATTTCCAGGCTGGTGAAATGATCTCATTTGTGTTTATTTTCTAAGGTAAGCACCATGTTCATAAACGAGACAGAGGGGGAGGAGGCACAAGTCACTGTAAATACACTGAATGTGGAGCTCATTGGAGGTGGGGGCTTTGTCTTTGAGGGAGAGATAGGCAGGAAGCAGCAGACACTTTGGTAAATGGCTCATTTGCCTGGTTGATACACCCACATGTCTTCCATTTAAAAACCTTGATTTGCCTTGATGCTTGAGTCTCACAGCGTGCCTCTTGTTACTTTCCTTAAGTTTCCGTTCCATTGAGTTTTCATGGTGTAGAACTCTATGCCCAAGGATGAGGTGATTCCTCCCTTAGCCTCCCACAGACATGCTCTGATATCACTGAAGGCATTGTAATGGGGTGACTTGGAATGGAGATATGTCAGACACGGGAGAGAGTTTTACTCCCTAAGTTCCTATGCTGTGTTCTTAAGGAAGTATTCCATTGTAGCTTATGACCTAAAATCAGTTTTCATTGCACTGACACCTGATTTTTTCACTTTGATTCTTGCTGCATAGGGAATCTGTAGGGTTTCCCCCTCTTGTCTCCTCCATCAAGAAAGGAAAGGCTTACCCTGCATTTACAAACGAGATTGTACAGTTGCCCCGATGGTGTCTTATTCAATAATTTATTAAGGTCAAGTCCAACTCCAGGAAAAAAACCAAATGATTATAATATGGAATACTATTGGTTTTTCTCATGCTATTTTTGTTCTTGTGTTTTATTTGTTGTGTGTGTTTGTTATGTCCTGTTTTGTTGAGATAGACAGGCTGGCCTTGTAAGAGTGAAACCACGGAGGACAAGTCACGGCCTTAGAATCTTGACTTCATGAGCTTGTAAGAGTGAGACCACGGAGGACAAGTCAGCCTTTGGGCTGCAACAGCAAGAGGTTTATTTAGGACACAGGTACCTGTGGGCACAGAGTCTCCTCGGAGGACTTGCGCGCCCCAGGTTGAGTTCAGGGGTTTTTTTATAAGGCAGAAGCAGGGTACAGAAGCAGAAGTGCGGTTATTGGTTAATTTCAAACACATATAGTAATTTCATCAGTAATTTCAAAGGTATGCAGAGATATGGGGTAAGGGCCGGGGCTGAGGGGAAGTAGGATTGCTAAATGGGAGGTGGCCTCAGAAGCACAGAAGATTTCCTGTTATCGGGCCCCCAGGGTGGTCAGGAGTTCTGTCTTGTTTTATGGCTTCATCTGTGAGGCTTGACCGACGCCTGCCTGTCCTGCAGCCTTTTGATAAGGCTGGTTCTGGTTTTTGTTAAGTTTTAACAAGTGGGCTGTGGGCCCCTGAGCACTCATGGCGCCTAGTTTCCTTTTTTTATTTTCTCAGCCTCAAACTTTTGTAATTCCCCTTCCTCAGCCTCCTGAGTTCTGGGATTACAGATATGAACCACTACACCTGAGATGGATGGATGGATGGGTAGATGGCTATCTCACCTTAGTGTCATTTGGCATTCTAGATTGCATTTATTATTTATTAGCCACTTACTGGATGCAAACTCTTGAACTAGGATGTACACAGATGACAAAATACCTTAAACTCAACAAAAGATTAGTGTCATGCCACAAAGTAAGCATATCATTAAGATGTTTGTTCTGTATGGTTGACGAATAAAGCCATTCGGACTGTGCTTAATCTGTGTTTGAATGATCTGTCCAGGTGATTGCTTCAAATACACACTTAACCACATGCCAGCATCCATACACCATAACACCTAGGGAAGTCTGATAAAAAGTTGTGTTCTTTGCTCTTGAAATTGAGCATGACTCTTTGTGGAGCATGTCTTTTGCCAGTCATAGGAGAAAATCCTTTAGAGAAGGAGAGAAACACAGGTGGTTAGACCCAGAAGTCTCACCATATAGATGGGTATTACTTGGTTCTGCTTTGCACAGTGACAGTGTTCAGAAAGAGTTGTTGTTGGTGGGGGAGGATATCGTTTGGGGGTTTTCTAGAGGGAATGACAGACTGTAAGTACGCTTCAGTAGGTACTATCTGTCTGGGGGGAGTTACTCCAAAACAACGATTTTGTGTCGGGGGTGTGGGAAGCGGTGGGTGCATGTATGTCGGGAAGTGAGCACATGTCTGTGTATATGAAGCCTCTGACCCAAAGCCATATGATCACCACAAGTTCTGTCCTGCTTAAAGACGCAGCCTCCCAGAAAGCAGCATTGAAAGGGAAAGTTGCTCTGTAGCATTTCCTGTGTTCCTATCACTAATTCTAATAAGCATTGCTTGGAGGAGCCCAGAGTCTCACCTAAGGATGTAAAAATCACTTAATTCTACCTAGGAAAAACGTATTTTTGTTGGCACAAAACGGGTATAGAACGGAACCTTGCCTTTCCACTTTGAGCAGTACTTGCTCCCTCACTCTACTGCCAAGACTGTTTCACATTACATCTCCTCATCTAAATCCTCCAAGAAAGATTGTCAGACCTGCTTGTTGCTGAGAGGGATCTTGTCTCGCTCCTGTGGCCTGGTATCAGGGAATAATGAACGGGTCAGCACAGTCACCGTGCATTCTCACACGGGCAGCCAGCTGCTCAAACAGATTCTACATTTCTCATTTTCCTCATTTCAAAACTCCAGGGCATTCGAGTCAAAACATCCCCACTCATTCTCTCCCCAGTTCTGAAGCAAGGAAGGGTCTCTTATCCCACAAATCTCTGGACTTGAATGAGCTCAGGATTTTCCTCCTTTGCCAGGTAAGACACAAGCCTCTACCCAGACATATCAGTTGAAACATAATCCAGGAAACTCAGGTGCTAGGGACTGGCGCAGGAACTCAAACTCACACAATTTGTCTTTAGCAACAATAATCAGAAGTTAGAAATACTGTTTTCTCAGATCCACACAGGAGGATGAAGTCATTCTGGCTTGGCCCTATCCTATGATCTTAGTATTTTACCTACATTGTAAGAGAAGCATCACATATTTATATGCATATATGTAGACGAAGGTGTGCTTCACTCTGCTCAGCCTCCAAGAACATGCACAGATTTCCAGACAATACTAAACACTTGGTCTTCACTTCCAGTCACGGGTATAAACCTAGCCAAGAGGTCATATAGAGTTGGAAACAGTCTCCTTGAGACATTCCACTCACTTTTAACTCACCCCGGATTATCTGCCACACAGGTACAAGCTTACTCTGTTCACTTCCTAGCTAGCAGGTGCTTGTTGGGGGGTCCCACGCCCACTTCTCTATTTCTTTCTTCTTTTTATGCTTCTCCCACAAGCCCCATAAGGGGTTTACACCTGAACATGCATGGAAATGTCTCACAAGTCTGATGGGAGACATGAAGTGGGATGCTTCCACTCTTGAAGGTTATGGTAGGAAGAGGCTTGGGCCCCTGTTGGCAATGACATACAAGTTGGAAAATTTGTGACAAGCCATGAATGGACATAGGAAATGTGAGGTACGAAATGAGATGAGGAAATTACAATCTGTAACAATGAACTCTTAGGTCTAGGCAGTTTGGCCTCAAAACTAACTAGCAGCATATGGAAATGTGTGTTCATATGTCCATATGTTCATATATTCATATAAATATGTGAATATATGCATGTACACCCATAGGAGCAGGTGCACACACCTGCATTTACACATACACAGATGCATATGTACATGTGTGTACTGTGCATTCAGAAACATGCTTCCCAATGGTCTGTGACGTTTTGCATACATGTATGCAGATATATGCATATACACAGTCAAGTGTGTGCATATATCTGTATGTACAGTGGTTGACGAAACGTTGCTCATGTCTTGAAATTTACCTTTTCTACAATTTAGGTTAATGTGGGGAGCTTTTCTCCTGTTCTTAGGAATTCTCGGTAAATGTCAGCTAATTCTCATGGTTTCCTGAGAAGGACGACTTCTGGCTTACTTTACTCATCTTCCCCAGAATGCTTTCCAGGGCCCCGGTGCCTTCTTCCTGCATAGACAGGGTTCTGGGAAATTGTCCTCTAGCCTGGGTGTGCATCTTATGGTCTTCCTCTGTTCTTTCCTCTCTTCCACAGTGCCCGGCTTCCCCTATCCAGCCGCTACTGCTGCAGCTGCCTACCGAGGGGCGCACCTGAGAGGCCGTGGCCGCACCGTGTACAACACCTTCAGGGCTGCGGCGCCCCCACCCCCGATCCCTGCCTATGGCGGGTAAGCGTGGCATCCTCCTGCCCCCCACCAGCACCTGCCCTCCCTCCCCACAGGCATGGAGTGTTTGTGAGCGCATGACGGTCTTGCCCACCCCACCGGATCCTCCCCAGCATGCAGCCCAGCGCTCGCCTGCAGCAGAGCACCTTGCAAAGAGTATTGAAAAATGAGTGTAATTTGTCCGGTCATGGTTGGTGCCTTTAAGCATTCTACACGTCACATGTTGTTATGTAAATCCTCTTTGAGACTGAATGCTGGAGAACAGAGAAATGGTTATAGCCAAAGATGTATTTCTGATGATTGCTAGCATCTGGTTATTAAGGAGGTTGGACTACATTTACCCCTTGAATTCAAAGGGACCGTGAGGTTTCCCATATGTAAAAACCACTGGGATGATCTTGCTTCTCTCCCCTAAAACATCTTGTACTCCCAGGTCTATGAAATTTTGCCTAAGAAAATTAGGCATCAAGTAAGCACATCTTTTTAGAGATAAATGAAATTACAGCTAATTTGCTTTTACTTTTGTATTCCAAAATGGCATGAATGTCCCTCCCTTTCTCCTCTTTGTAGAAAATGAGAAAGGATTTGTTCCCAACTTCCCTTTGGCTCCTTAAGAACAAGGAATGATGGAGAAGGAAAGGAAGAGACAGATGGACAGAAAGAGGGAGGGAGGGAAGGAAGGGGGAAGAGGAAGGGACTCAGTGGAAACAGCCCTAGAATGATACTGCCTCTTTCCTTCTATTAAGGATCTTGGAAGAACAGGCCTGCACTTCTGGGTACAAAGAGGGAGAGGACGTTCCTCTCAGACAATAGCCCTAGATCAGAGGACATTTACAGGTCTAGGATATTTTTTATTGTCACAATGGGAACGGGGAGGGTGATGGTACCTAATCAGTAGACTCCAAACATGTTGCTTAAGCAGTCTGTGATCCTTAGGACAGCCCCGCCCAGAGCAGAACCTTCGTCAGGATCACAATGTGAATTGTGTTGTAGTTATTTCTCCTGTTGTATGGAAATTCAGCTATACCCAAGAGAATCTGGTATAAGGCTTCCCAGGCCAGTGACTGGTCTTCTTGTCTGTAGAACGAATATGTCTATGTTCAGGACCATATGAAAAGGGTTAAATGCATTTTCTTAAAAGCTTTGTATCTTATAAATCTTTTAGGAAATCTGAATTACCCTAGCTCACTTGCTATACTGGTGACAAAGGGAAATACTCTTGTTTTCATTATTTATTCATATCTCATCTCTACTCCAAGAGACCAGCTGAAGTGCTTGAAAAACAGACAGGGAAACAGAGTGGAGAATATAAAGGAATGGAGTTAGGTAAAATCACCAGTATGGGAGAATAAAGGCAAAGAAAGAAACAAGGCAACTGACAGCAGGTTTCTTTTGTAAGTCATTAGAGTTGGGATGATGGGGAGCTTCTCAGTGGACAAATGACAGTAGAAAATAACATTATGAGAATATAAGAGCCAGTGGGCCCTAAAGCCTCCCCTTGCCTGGCCCCATGCATCTATCTGTATGCCCTAAGCCTCATGCACCTGTCTATGTTATATATAAGAATATTTGACTTTATGACTTGTATAACCCCAGCCTAGTCTGAGCCCATTTTATACAATGATTTAGGAAGGGTGGAAGAGAGAGTAAGAACAGCAAAGTCAGCTTCTGGTTGGGTTATCTTCATGGAGTTGCTGAAACAAAACTCCTAAGCCATAAATGCAAAATAGCACTTTTATGCCACTTTATTTTGTCTGAAAAATTGTTATCTTAGTACATGGTAATTGTAGCTTTTCAGTCTATATACCCCTAGTCAGTATCTCACTACTGTATTGAACAGAAAAAAATAATAATAAAGTAAAATTATATGGCTTATCCTCCCATGAACAATTTATAAAAACCTCAACATAACACACCTGCTATAAAATTGAAATTTACTAACTTATAATAAATGTTCTCTTTGCCGGGAATAACCATGCATAACTAATTAATGCCATGTTCGCCAGGGAGAAACAGGCATTTCCAAACAGTACACAATGTGTTTGTGATTCTTTTGGAAGGGGAGAAATTGTAATATTCCAGGAGTATGCCTGATCATTCTGGCTGTAATGGTGACTATGTGTTTCTGCTGGAAGAAATTCCTCTGCCTGTGACATTGGTCTACGTAGGGCACAACAACAGGGCACGAAACCTGACAGCTGCTGAGGGAGAGGTATGGAGCTGAACTTGTCTGCATCTGGAATTCCAAAACCACACTTAGAAGTGAAGATAGAATTCTCAATATGAGGGGCTTGAGGAGGTGGCTCAGTGGGTTAAAGCACTAGCTCTGTAAGCACAAAGACCTGAGTTTGAATCATCCATGTACAAAGCCAGGCATGACTGGGCTTGCCTGTAACCCTGGGATTGAGGAGTAAAAACAGGCAACATAGGCAGATGCCAGGAGCCCCCTGGCTAGACAGATTAGCCCAGACCAGTAGTTTCTAGTTCAGTGACAGACCATATCTCAAGGGGGTAAGATTGGGAGCAGGACCAGAAGACATCTGAGGTCTTTCCCTGGTCTCTGTGCACCCACACCCTCACACTTAAGTGTATGCACCAAACATACATAGAGCACACACACACAATAAGGAAATAAATCAATATTCTCAACATAGGGTTAGTGAAGAGGAAGAGGGCTCCTGCCAGGGTTCCATGTCTACAAGAATCTGCAAGAGTCAAAGCCCTGGTGAGAAAGATCAGTTAGCTGCCTGGATCCTTCACTGGATTACAGACAGCCTGGAATACCTTTGCTTGGAATTAAAAAGAGTGAATCCACAACCTAAGTAGAAGGGTTCCCTTTTTTGCTCTGGATTCATTGGCTTTGGTTACAAGAAAGGCAGATCATCCAAAAAAGGAAGACAAAAGTAGTGGGTCTCAGAGCAAGGCTTGCCTGGAAGGAGAAGGCCGAGTCTTGAGTTGAAAAGAAGCAATGGGCAAACAGGCTAGAAATCCACTCCCGTTTCCAAGAAGCGTCATGTCAGGTAGAAGTCCTCTAGAAACAGTGTAGATTTCCTGTAGATTTTGCCTCCAAACTCCTTTGAAGGAGGGTCTCTAGGCTTGACTGACATCTTTACTCCAGCCCCATCAGCTCAGCACCCCACATTCACACTTTGTGTCTAGTTATCTTCTCTGTGCCGGTGACAACATATTCACAGGAATTTCTTGGGATGGGGACTGGGACCCAACATATAAGCTGAAAATTCCAGTTAATATGATAGATGATAGAGGGTTTTTGCCAAGGGAAGGCCCTTATCCAGCATAGGGGTTCAGATAAGCCTTCCTAAAGGAGAAAAATCTAGGTCACAGGATTAGGTCCATTCCTTTGCTAAATTGCCACCACATTAAAATCTTGTTCTGTGAGTCTCCCTCACACCCAGCCATCTCAATCTTTTTAAAGATATATCTTCACAAAATGCATTTATTAAGGAAGAAATTTTATTGTCAACAAATGACGATGCATCTAACCACCAACCTGCTTCTCAGGCAATATCCAGTACAAATCTATGATGCTAAAATGCAAGCCCCAAAGGTAGACTTTACAATAGATCCATATGGGCCTTCCATATTTTTCTCCCCCTGGGAGAAAATATACACATGTAAACATACACATATGAGTATAACAGAATCTCCATGGTTAACTCTGTGGAGCCTGGGCTAGCTCTTGGAGGTATACAACATTGAGATAATCGCCCTAGAAGACTCATTACAGATACTCTTCCCTGCATCCACGTCTGAACCCTCCCAGCAGTTAAACAGCAGACATTACGAAGAGGTTCTGTTTTGTTTTCCCTGGCATAACTGAACAGAAAACTCTGAGGACATCAACATATGATCGTTGCTCCCAGACCAGAATTTCTGCCCATGGACAGTAGGGGGATCAAAGGAACAAATGGAAAACCCTAAACCTAGTCAGCAACTCCCTATTGATTGACAAAATTATGTGAATGAAACTCCTTGGTGAGTTAGAACACGTTTAATACAGGAGTCTTGCCATCCTAGAGAGCTACAGAGAAAGACCCTGGATAAGTTACTTGACTTCTGTAAGCAGTTTCCTTGATAGCAGTATCAAGAATGTGCCTTCCCCCTTCGGGTTCATGGAGTATGAAATCAGAAGAGCCAGCCCAGTAAGGTCCATCCTAGGACATGTTTAGTGAACTGCAGCTAATCTCCCTGAGGTTGATATGATTATTGACTTTTTGTAAGTGGCCCATGCTGTCTTCTCTCCCAGTGCCGCCTCTGGTGGTGCTGAGTACACAGGCAGCTCTCACAGCTCTTCATACATAGTTTACCTCTTTGCTAGGGAATTTCTGCAGTTCAAAAGCTCATTATTACCCCCAAACTACAGACACGGTCTTAAATACATTGATAATTTATGGATCACACAGATTGAACCTCGCATCTCAATGGATTGTCTCAGTTTGGTGGATGAAGGTTTTCCTATTTCTCCTTGTTCTTCTCAAGTTTTGGTGGAAAAACCAGTGTCTAATCTTGTCATCCCATGAGTCATATTCAGGAGCAACTACATGATATATGGTTACCATTTCAAGGAGATTACAGGTGGACAGTCTAGAGGTCAGGCAGCAGCATTGGATACATACCCTCCAGATGGAGCACAGCATCCCATAGGATAGCAGCCGGATCCCATCCCTTCCCTGAGCAGCATCATTAGCCTTGCTTCACCACAGTCTTACTCTTAACTAATTATTAAATAGTTTTTTTATCAAGTGTATTCTACGTACCATGTGTGTTGCATGATGATACAATACACTGCCCTGAGTGAGCATAACAGGAGATGTAAGACCAGTTTTAAGTCTGGGTCTTTCTTCTTGGTCATCTGTATTAGTTACTTTCCTTGTTGCTGTTGCAAAATACCTGATCAAAGCAACTGATGGGAAAAAGTGCTTATGTTGGCTCACAGTCTGAGAGTACAGTCCATCATGGTGGGGAAGGCATAACAGCAGGGG